TCTTTTTGGGGTGAACAGTATAGCTAAGACGCGATAAGTATTGAACAGAAAGTACATTTGTGGAACTAAAACCTAAAGATCTCAAAGTTGGATACCGTCTCCCCTGACAAAATCTGAAAACTATAAGATGAATTATGGCCGTACATATAGAAAATGATCAAACCTACTATCAGCTAGAAAATAACACACATAGTCCCGCCATCGACACTGGACATTGCTTAGAAGGCCTACTTGATCTTTCTTAAACAAGTGGAGAGCTGATAAAGGAGTATTAAAAGGAAAGCACGTCGATCCCACCCAAATTCAATGATACATAGTGGGTGACGTATATGTATTTTATTAGACCGTGATATCTTCCAAAACTTATACAGATTGAAGCAAAGATGGCATCTACTAAGCCAGGAATCGTGACTCAACCTGCCCGAACATTTATGGTTGACCCAACCCAAAAGTCCATTTTATGATATCACTCTTATCCCCTCATCCATACACAAGGCAATTCTCGCTATAAATATATTCATATACCTATTCACGTCCACTTCTTTCCAACGCTTTTATCATTACACCATAAAGCAAGAATATATCGGAACAATTACCGGACAAGAACATACCCAGATAGATGGGAAGTATACAGTCATACAAGCAGTGCTAAATTTGCAAATGTAGAAAAATGCCCTACAGCTTAACTAATCTTTTAACCCTTACCATTAAAACCAAGTATCCATAGATGTAGCTAGCAAATGCACACCTTGAAATTCTTAAACCACTGAAACTGCCTCATCTTAACTCTAATTTCATCTGCATTTCACATCTCCAATTACTGAAGTCCTGCCCCATCCCCTAATATTCACTCTTCTCAAATCCACACATCTTATTAGGTTATCAAGTGTGGAGATCAGGGAACTTTTAAGAGTAAGCCGAAGTCATCAGTAACAGCCATGATTAGGATTCTTTAGGACCAAGAATCTAAACCTTCAAGTTTGTGACAGTCTTCCTCATTTGAGGACTGTAGGTCCAGATTTGAAGAGACACAGACATGTGTGCTCCGAGCTGTCGGTTACCTAACCAGATCAGAATACAGACACTAAGAAAGGTGATATCCTCTATTTCAGCAAAAACTAGGAGGTCTTGAACACATCAGCAACTGGCCAGTGTACTTATCATCTACCAAGAGATGAGCACATTCCAGTTGTCGCAGTTCAAGAGTGAACTTCTACCAGCAGCTAGTATAGAAGAAAACAATATATACAAAAATTGCACATGAACTAAACAAATCCTACTCCCCTTGAACTATTAGGTATCACTTTCCAGTAGATTATATTCCAAAAAGAACTTTGGTTGGACTTGGAAAACAAACATGTCAGAGCACCAGGACAAAAAAATAAGTTATACAGGCTAATGTCAATAATCAAATATGTGAATCAGCGGAATGATCCAGAAGCAAATTCCATAATTGAACTAAAGGGCCTTTCTACATCTCGATTTACCTCAAGATCAGTGATGTATATAACTACTCTCAATTCATATTTACTTTTTAACATAACATATCAAGTTTACATTCATGTCCACTTCATTCGTTATGCTATGGACTATTAAAAGCAAGAACAACCAAGGAAAAGCTATTAGCTTGATAACCAATGTACCTCAGAAAAACAACTACTGAGAAAATTATACACAATGTAAACCAATGAACCCTTATAACTAGTCTTTCTTATAATTACTCAGACCACAATTAACCACATTGCATTTGCCAATAACAATAGATTTTCACCTTAAAACAAGCAAAGATCACCGTCAGAGTCCAACGCGGCACTGTCGTGCACCACCAAGCAAGGTACCCGATGAATTATTTGACCCGACCCCCACTGACAAATCCTTACAATAGACCCTTACAAACCTCCTCCTCGCTCTCCAAGCCCCAGCCCTAAACCTAACCCTAGCCACCATCCTCACATTGAACCCAATTGCACCTTTTTGCGACCTTTCTTTGTTCATCTGATCAAAAGCCCGATTATTCACATATGCTCCCGCAGTAGCAAAACTCGCTTGCCGGGCCGTCTCAGCCCTCTTCTCCTGAAAGAAAGGCGGAACCGTTGTATCCGAAAGCGACACGTCATCATAGAAAACCGCAGCGGCGACATCATCATAGTAAAGAGTCATCTTCTTATTTGGGTTTCTCACAGTAAAACGAAGGTCCCATTTACCAGAAATCAGCGAATTGGTGAGATTAAGATTCGATACTGACAGTGAATCAACTCTGAACTCGGGGATTCGAGGACGGAGTATAAGCCAGAGAATGAAAACAAAGGTACCAGCGATGACCATAGCAGCTATAGCCATACCGATCACTCGGCGGAGGAAGGTATTGCGTTGGGCATCGTAGGGATTATTAGGTTGGTAGTACGGGTTGTTTTGGTAGTACACCGCGGAGGCAGGTGGCGGTGCTGCATATGGGTAAGCGGTGCCTATCGGTGGTTGTTGGTGAGCAGCACCTCCGTAACCGTTAGGGTTTGGCGGCGGTGCTCCGGCGGCAGGGTAACCGGTAACTGGCCGATTGGGGTCGTTCATGGCGGAGAATTTTTGGTAGCATAAAAGGCGGAGAATTGTGAAGTTTTATAGGGAATGGAATGCTGCAGCAAGTCGGCAATGATTCTTCCTTTATAAACAAAAAGAGTAAAATAAACACTTTAGGGGCGTTTTTTGACATTTTAAGAAGTTTGGGGGGCTAATATGTAATAATGTCCACAACTTTTTTTTTTTTTTCTTTTCAATTTATACATATACTTAGTATAAGCAAGCTCTAAGATTATATCTGTGGAATAAAATTTCAATTAGCAATGGAAAACTGACATGGCATGAATCATCAAATCTGTATTCAGAAATAGTAATGCTTTGAAAATAAGCGTGATTCATTAAGTGAAAAACGCTAACCGAATAGTTAGAAATGTCAGAAGGGACGATTCAAATTCCTCGTCGAATTTTACGAGTTTTATTAAGTTTTATCTCGAATTAAGGTGAAATGTGAGGGTGGATTTTCATATATGAAAAGGTTGGGGGTTGATATGTAAATAACATCTCTAACTTGATCTTTTCAATTTCTTCTAAGTTAAGAAAAAAAATTAAGAGCTTAAGTAGGCACATCCGCACATGACTTGCATTCGTGAAATATTTTCTCCATCATTATTTATTTATTTTGAGGATTAGCCGGATAATCTTTATTTTGTACAATTTATCAATTTCTTATTAGAAGATTCATAAGCAATATCTAAATTTTGGTTATTATTTATAATAATTTTGGTTTGCTTTAGAAATAAGTATTTTAAGTGATACGTAAATTATTTATAATGATAGTTCAATTAAAGTAGAAGGAAGAGATGAGGATAAAATAGTTTTTTGTTAATACAACGATTATGATAAAATGAATAAGATTCTTTATAATGATCGAATGGTCTTTTAATCACGTATATGTACTTAAAACTTAAAAGTTATCGAGGAATGGAGGTATTTGTCTTTTACTAAAACATGGGAGTGTATGTTTTTTAAACCAAACTAGAAGGATGAAAATATAAATTTACTAAATTAAGATAAATATCATAACCACCACTTTTGTTTCCCACAAAATCCATGTTTCTAAACAGCGGTTTTTCTAATGGACAACTCAATGCTTACTCATCTATTTTTGATTGTTTTATATTTTTGTTCGATACTTGTATTGAGGTCCTCGAAGGGTCATTTGGGGAAAATACACTGCTCTCTAGTATTCCTTTTCATATTCAAGATTCAATTTTTTTTGTCTCAAATTATATTCGTGATTTTTAAAAATAATTTATTATTTTAGAAAATTATGTGTATATTCTATTCTTCCAAAATCCGTTGTGTGACTATGCTATTATGTTGTTTAGAAATTCAAGACATAATTAATTATTTTTTCTCAATTTATTTTTTGTAGTAATTGTTCTTGAAGACTTTTAACACCTTAATAGAATAAATATTTCATAAAAGAAATTTATATTTTAAACAAAAATAAAAATAAAATAGCTAAAATCTTCTTTTAATTAATATTTTTCAAAAAAATATATAAAGAAAAACACGACTAATAATTTAGGACGATGGGAGCACATATAATCGTGTTTTTAGGTATCGAAGTTCATTAATGCCCCATCAAGAAGTTGACGTCATAATTAAATTCCTCTTATTTCCTTTCCAAAGTTTGTATTCTATTTTCATTTTTAGATCTTGCAAAATTATTAACCCTCTACAATATTTTTAATCTAAAAATGAAAATAAAAAATATTTGAATTCATTGAAAATAAAAAATATTTAAATGAAAGTAATATTATGCATGCGGACAAGGTTTCTCAAACTAAAAGGAAAGAATAACATGAAAGAACATATGATTGAAGTAAACATGCACCAACTTACTCTCCCTTTTTTTAGTTTAGAAGCAATTAAAAGTGAGTAAAAAGTAGTGAGAATAGCAAAATATTACATAACACAAAATCAATATCCCATATCTAAAAATATTAACAACATTTCACCAACAAGATCAATTTTCAGCAGAAAAAAACATAATCATATTAACTGAAGTTAAAATTAACTTCCAACAGCATCATTTCAATAAAAACTTAAACCAAAAAAAAAAACTTGTGATCAAGCTCTTACATGATCACTCATTATAAATGGAGATAAAAAGGAAGCAGATCTATGATAATAATCAGTCTATATTATAAGTAAGTAATTAGTTCAAACTGAATGAAAAACATCTGTATAAATAGATAGAAAATCACATTATAGCATACGTCAAAACTATTCAATTCAGAACTGTAATCAAAGTATTGAAAGAAAATGATATGGAGAAACAAAACCTGAAATTAGAGGGAAGGAACTTACAGTTTCATGGAGAGTTCGATGTATACTTGAAACTGCAGCCAAGCCCCATCAAAGATCTTCATTCATGTTGAAGAAATTTTAAATCTTCAATTGCTACACAGTGAGCAATATCGAAAAAGTGATGAAATAACTTGTTATTGCAACTTTAAGCAAACTTTGAAGTACCCTGCTGAGACCTTAATAGAATATAAGCTGATCAATGTCGATGATAACAGCGGCAATACAAATGTAACACAAAATAAGTAGCTAAGAAGTCTTAACTATGAAGAGCATGCTTAATGCTGTTTGTCAGTTACCTAAATCAGGGCCAAGAAGAAATAAAGGGCAGATGATACACAGTATTATACTAAAAGATATAAAAAAGTTAACTTGAGGTGGCTTGGTCGATTACGGTGGGTTATTGCTGCACGGAACTGTTAACACCTGCTGCAGCTGATTCTGTGCCAATGATCTCCTCAATTGGAATCTCCCTGTCAATCTGCTCGTTTTCGTGTACTTTACCATCATTAGAATTCTGAACCAGTGGATCTGCAGCGGCTGGAGCTTCTTCTTGGCTAACTGAGGTTGCCTTGCTGAGTTCAGCAGAATGAGATGAGGCATCTGCCCCAGCTGGTTTACTCTCTATCTTATTTTCATCGACCACATCCAGTGCATCTTCAGCGGCAGGAGCTTCTTCTGCAATTTCTTCTGGGCTACCTGAGCTTGCCTTGCTGAGTTCAGCAGAAAGAGATGAGGCATCTGTCCCAGCTGGTTTACTCTCAATCTTATTTTCTTCAAACACATTCAATGGAAGCGTTTTATTGTCAGTTTTAAGGCTGTTATCCAGAGGCTTATCTTCCGCTTCTCGATTTTTCATTTTCTCTATGTTTCCCTCATCCAATGTTTCTTCTTTTTCTTGCACAATTTCCATCTTATCTTCACTTTCCGGAGGCTCCTCAGGGACAATCTCACCAGCATTGGTCTTCTCCTCCTCATCCTTTGTTTCTTCTTTTTCTTGCACAATTTCCATCTTATCTTCACTTTCCGGAGGCTCCTCAGGGACAATCTCACCAGCATTGGTCTTCTCCTCCTCATCCTTTGTTTCTTCTTTTTCTTGCACAATTTCCATCTTATCTTCACTTTCCGGAGGCTCCTCAGGGACAATCTCACCAGCATTGGTCTTCTCCTCCTCATCCTTTGTTTCTTCTTTTTCTTGCACAATTTCCATCTTATCTTCACTTTCCGGAGGCTCCTCAGGGACAATCTCACAAGCATTGGTCTTCTCCTCCTCATCCTTTGTTTCTTCTTTTTCTTGCACAATTTCCATCTTATCTTCACTTACCAGAGGCTCCTCGGGGACAATCTCACCATCACTGATCTTCTCCTTCTCATCCTTTGTTTCTTCTTTTTCATGCACAATTTCCATCTTATCTTCACTTGCCTGAGGCTCCTTGGGGACAATCTCACCATCATTGGTCTTCTCCTTCTCATCCTTTATGTTATCTCCATCGGTGAGATTCTTAGATGCCATCTCTACATCTTGGACTTCTAGATCCTCTGCATCAGGCAAAGCAGGTTCATCACTTGCCTTAGCTTCTTTCTCAGTAGCACCCTCAGCTTCTCGTGCGCCACCATCCTCCTTGGCTTCTTTTTTGGAACTTGATTTCCTTTGTCTCTTCGTACTGGGAGTATCAGTTTCTGGTGTCTCCGTTGCTTTAGATTTTCCACCCAATCTAGTTGATCGTCTAGGAGTGTCACCTGAATAAGTCAGAAAGTAGAGGATTCATCCAATCAATAAGGAATTTAAACAAACCTCCCAGAGATGAATCTGCAACATCTCATCCGAAGAATTTACTGGATATTTCATTGGGAGATATGCATTCCAGATATGCACAGACAAACAAAAGGAGAATAGAGAAGATACCTGTACCCCAATTAAATTCAGAAGCAGGAGGTCCTCCTGGATGTGATTTCAGATACTTGTCCAATTGCCTCTTGTTCTTAATTTCGTCTCCATCAGGTGAAACAAATATAATATCATTCCTTCTAGGGGTACTGCTCTTTCCTGGAGTGAACTGGAAAGACGAACAAATACTTACTACCAACAAAATACAAACTGATTAAAATAAAAAATACTTCCACAAGTCGGCATTCTAAATAGAGACTCAACTTTTGTATACAACCCTCTAGGAGAAATTCACTTCAGAATTTTAAGCCACATCAGATAGGCCACAGGTCCATCAAAAGAGGAGAAAAGTTCAGATTCACTACTATTTTTCGTATATGTTCCGCACAGGTAATTATAGTTGGTGCCACATTCAACAAACTTAAATAAGTAACATTCAAAGTTGAAGTTGATTCAAACTTCTGACAATCTTAAGATATATTTCAAACAACAACAAAATTTCTGTATCAGGGCAGACTAGTAGCATTAGTTTCCAAGTTAGTCCTGAGTACTTGTATAAATATCTCTCCTAAATAGGAATCTATGAGTACTCCGGATGTTTCATGGTCAATACTGGAACAGCTTGCACCCTCAATTACATAAAGAGCTGTACAGTGACTATCTTATGTCTTTCGAATAATGGCTTGGAAACCATATGACTTAAAAGAGGTGATTAAATCAACCAACAAACACCACAACATCTTAATTATGATATTATACAGATTAGCTAGGAGACAATTCCGCCTACGTCCTAAATGCTGGTATAAATACCTCTCCTAAATAAGCATTTATTTCAAGTAGTATACATCTTTCATTGTCATTACTGGAACAGCTTCCCCCCTCAATAACATAAAAGAACTGCTTAGTGACGATCTACCCCTTTCAACTAATAACCTGGAAGCTATATGACTGAAAAGAGGTGATGAAATCAACAAACTAAACTACAGCATCTTAATTTTGAAATTATGCAGATTAGCTAGGAGACAATCCCGACAGTTATGAAAATCATAAACAAAAACGATTTCTATTAACTTCATAAGACAAACTGCATACACCTATTCACGGAACTTCTACTAATAACCTAACTAAAGCATAACACACCTACTTGTTTGAGTTCCACGATACATCACTCATAATTATTCATTCAGATTCAGATTCAAACAAGATAAAAAAGTCAAAAAATGAATTCTATCAAGTTCATACAAGACACATCTGCAAACACATACTGAATATACTTAAACTGCATAATTTTTTGCTAGGAAGCTAACTAAAGCATAATGCATCTACTTGTTTCAGAGCTGCACATGTCACACATAATTAAATCTAGATCACAATTAACGCTTAACATATCATTAATTCAAAACAACAAAAAACAGCTAAATCGAAATTTAATCACCAAATCATAACCTCATGAAAACCTAAATCCGCACACTAACAGCTGCAAAAGTTAAATCTCCATTTTTCAACCACAAAAACGCAACTAAGCAACGAAAATTACAGAAATCACTAAATCAAAACAGCTGAATCGAAATTTTAACGGCGAAGAAAGTATTAATGAGTACAAACTCTCTTCTTCCAGCCAGGAGGAGCAGGTAATTCGATCGGAACGGCATCGGTTTTCTCCATAGCAACATCTTTGTTCTCCATTTCCATTCTTCTTCGGTTTTGAAACTGGAAAAAACTTTGAAGATTTTCCCGCTCAGAATGAATTTTGTAAACAGACAAAAAGGGGAATTTTTCGAATTGGGAAATTAAATAGGGAAAGTGTAACAACGGACGTCAGATTTTTTTCCTTAACTAAATTGGAATTATTCAGTTAAAGTCCGATCAACTTATTTTTATTATTTTAACGAAGATTTAGGATCTATTATTTCTTTTAGATTTAGGATTTTTAATAAATAGCTTTATTTAGTGCTCATTTTTGTAAATATATAGGGATTTGTTTTTCAAAACGTAGAAAATTAGATGATTTATAAAATGTTCTTAATGAGTAATTGGTTTATGTGTGAGCAGGACAGAAAAGATTGAAACAAAGTCACAGAGGAGGAAGTTCCAAATCTATGCATTTCATTCTTAGCAACGGCTCCTTCGATATAATCCGTTGAAGTACTTCACTTACTTTTGAATTTTTTTTCAAAATGTAGTAAGATATCTTGTGTTTACGTATATATAATATTTAATCTTAAGTGAAACACAAATATAATATATGATTTTTATATGTATGTATGTATGTGTTTTCAAAGCTGGATGTATGCATCTGTATGTGAATACGTTGATCGTATGCGCCACCAACCAGATCTAATGTACGTGCTTTTAAACTGTACGTGCAAGTCAATTGTATATGAAAGGTATATCAAGTGTACGTCGTATGTATCGAGAAATCAACACTTACATGTTGTACGTAAATAAGTAAATTAGGTGTTTTTTTTTATAGTAAAAGATATTTATATAAACTGAAATAATGGAGCATGTCATCATCTCTATTGAGAATGTTTACTGCTAAGATTTTTAATTAGATACACAAATGCATAAATCTTATATCTTTTATTTTTAAAAAAAAAACATAATATCACTATGTTTTACAAAATATACAACTTACCTTTAATTTCTTTACAATTTTATGCTGCGTAGAATCAAGTTAACTTGTATACAATTTTATTATTATATACAAATTCGATCAAAACAACTACTTACATACAAAAAGTTTATTGTATACACATTCGAATGATATATACAACTTACCTACATGATACAATTATATTATTCGTTAGATACATTTTGTATGCTATTTATATGTATTTGATATGTTTGTGTATGTCATTATGTCATTTGTATGTTGTTCGTATGTATTTGGTTGAAATTTAAAAGTAAAATTAAAATTAAAACCAACTCTAATCTTCTGCGAACTCCCTTAGAATTGAGATGTGTAAATTTCATATATAACATATATTATAGTACTATTTTCAAGCTATAGCAGTAGATTTAGACTTTCAAACTATAGCATTAAAAATTTCAGGTTATAACAAATTCACAAAAAAAAGAAATGTTTTTATTAATTGGAAAAATCTTTAAAATAAAATAAAAAGATAAACGAAAGTTTAAAAAAAAAACGAAATTAAAAATAATAAAGAAAAAAACTGAAATTGTGGCCTGTAATTTAATTTGAACTTATTGTGGATAATTAATGATTAGCATGAAATAAGGGATCCAAACAAATTAACAATATTTTTATCCTTAATTCACTCAAAATCAGTTAAAATAAAATAAAAAATCAGATCATATCCTTTTTTTCTTCAACTTTTCTCTCTCTTAATTCTTCAGCCTAAAAAATTACCAGAATCGAGTAATTGAAGGTAATTGATTTTATTGAGATGGACAATTACATATCAATTCTAATTAAACATGGCGGAAGATGGGATCATTTGGGTTAGTATTTATTATTGTTTAGTGTTTGTTTTTAAATTACATTGAAATGGAATTTTTTTTTATTAAACTGTAAATCGTCTCTATGTTTAAGATGATATCATTACTTGTTAACTGTTGTGAAATGAATAATAATAGTGATTTTCTAGTTTTTGTGATTGTTTTGTGTATTTTTTCCCCTTAAAGTATAAAGTAATTGTATATCCAAATAATGAATTTAATAGAATTATTGGAAAGAAATTTGTAAGAAAATGTGTTTCGTAAGATGTAAAAAAAGTTATTTGGATTTTTGACGAATTGTATGACAAGTGTTTTAAGTTGGTATTAAATTATAAATTTTAGTGTGTTATATTAGATATTGTCATTTCTGAAGTAATTAGTGAGTTAGAAATGAATTATTTGGTACGATAAGATATAGATATTTGTAATGTATGATTATTTATTGTATGAAATGTGTATTAAGTGAGTTTGAAAGTTGTTATGAAATAAGTTGTCTTAATGATATATGTATGAAATGTATATTAAGAAAGTATGAAATTTGTATGAAAGTGTGTCCAGTAATCTAAAAAAAAGTTATTTGAAATTTTGACGAATTGTATGATAAGTGTTTTAAGGTTGTATTAATTTTGAAATTTTATTGTTGACATTTTTGTATAAATTTGTGTGACATTAATGAAGTATTTTCGTAAAAAAAATGTTCTTTGGATGACTAATTGTTCTTTTTTTTTAATGAAACAGAAAATATGTTGATTTTCAGATGGAAGGGATTATATATGAATGTTCTAGTCTTTATAGTGGTCTAGTAAGTGCGATAACATCGCAGCTTATGATAGATACTAATATAAATGATTTAGAGATAATAAGTGGGTATGAGAATATGTTTTGTAGAGTACTGTCTGAATGATATTTGTATGAAAAGATAATGACAAGTGTGTATAATTTTGTTATTATAATGAATTTTGTGGATGAATTTTGTATGTTCTTTGGATGACTAATTGTTATTTTTTTTAATGAAACAGAAAAGATGTTGATTTTCAGATGGAAGAGATTATATATGACTGTTCTAGTCTTTATAGTGATCTAGTAAGTGCGATAACATCGCAACTTATGATAGATGGTGATATTAATGATATAGAGATAAAATATATACTTAAAAAACATTAAGTAGTCCACATTTAAGACCAGTTATCGCTGCGAATTCCTTGATTCCAAAACGTAATTCTGTACCATTTATTTTCACAACAAACATGTCGTCTCTGACATTTTCAGATTCAAGAATCATCAAATGCCGCAATAGTTGACATTGAATCTTTATGTTGTGCATGTCATAAAATTCACGAAAAGGTGTTTGTTCCAGAAATTGTTGAAACATCTCTTGCCCGAGGAAAACCAACAGATCAGCAAACACATTCATGTTTGTACATGAAGACCTTTGTGTGTATCTTCCTTGCCTATAAAATAAAATTATTTATACTAAATTAAAACATACTTCGTACAAGTATTATTCAAGTTTCATTCCAGTTGTAACTACAGTTTAAAGATAGTTATAATTAAATTATATCATATAAATTAAATAAAAAATAAATCAAAATCATAAAAACATTGATAAAAAAAATATAAAAGTATGTTCATACAAGTATTATTCATGTTTCATACACATGCATATAGATAAATTTTAGTAATGACTTATACCAAATTTATAAAAAAAATTCACACCAATTTTATTCAAACATCATACCATTTTCATGTGCACTATGGCATTCATCAATCTACTTTCATAAATTTATCGACATATGCTAAAAATAATTTAACAATTTTAATACATTTAATGGAATTAAAATTGAAAAAGAAACCTTCTTAATTGGAAAAAATCCCAATTTCATATAAAAATTATTCAAAATTTATACAAAAACAGTGTAATTAAACAATTCATACAAATTGCACACCAAGTTAATAATTCATACCATATACACAATTAAGAGACAATCACATCAATGTTAATATACAATTCATACCATTTGCATATCAATATTGTATCAAAATTCATACAATATCCATCAATCAAACATTAAATTTAGATTTATACACATTTTTTTTCAGATTTCGAACAATTTTTACACAAACAAATATTTCAAAAACGACAATAAGCATAATGTTATATAAAAAAATCACTATTTTGACTAATGTGAAAATAAATTAAATATAGTACTTATCCTAACAACTTTTTTTGTGTTTTTTGGATGTTGATATTTCTGATTCCTTCTTTTTTGTTGTTCTTCTTGTTGATGGTTTTGAAGATTGAGAAACTTCTACATTTGTCTTTTTTTTGTTTTTTTTCTTTTTGATTTCACTAGCAAAATCAGAATCGTAATCAGAAGGGGTTTCAATAATTTTCCCCTTCCTCTTCTTCCCCTTTTGATTTGCCTGGAT